GCTTCTCCCAAATATTCTCATTACCTGATTTGGAGAAACATGGTGTATTTTCCCTGGCAGAAAGAAAACCCAGTCTTTAAGTATGGAAAGTCTTCACTAAACTAAGAGAATTAAAAGTAAAATAAGAAAGAGGTAGAGATGGGATTTTACCATAAAGGAAGTTTGAGTCCAATATCTTCTTTAAGTTATATACATGAAAACGTATATATACTTTTTCCTTTGTTAAGCAGTTTCACTTAGTAAGTCTATCTGAAAAGATTTAGTTAGAAAAAGCAAAGTTGTATCTGAGCATGTCTCAGACATGATGTCTTATTTAGCTTTACTACCATGGGACTGGCACAACTGCTAAGACATAAGCACTCAGTAAGTATCTGCTGAGTGAATTAGCCAATCCCTTTGCTTGTTTATGCATCAGCCCACAGATGAACATTAGATAAAATATATATATACATTCAAACAAGAGAGAAATATTTCTCTGCAAGTCTGTTTTCTTTATAGCATCCCATGTTACAATGTCTTTTCAGCCATCTGTCCTCCGTTCCCCCACCCCTGGCAACTCAATTTTCCTCTCCACCCATCTACTTTGTCCCATGAGTGAATAAGGCTTTCACTTCCACCTGTCTACTTGGCTATCAGCCAAGATGAGTCTTCCAGCTCTTCATAATTGCTTGTCTTGATTGACAACCCAGGAACTAGGACAACAGGTGATCATGATAGTAAAAACATAGAAACAAAACAAAAGGAAAGAATTCCGACTGCAGCAAGGAAACCACTTTCAAAATATCTTCACTCACCCTCCACCAATTTTTTTTTTCCTACCTCATTATAGAAAGACTATAGGAAGAGCACTGGTAGAAGAAAGAATTATTTGTGCATTGTACATCAGAAAAATAAATTTCTTGGTACTATAAAAGGTTCTAGAGCATTCTAAGGCTAAACACAATGACATCTAAAATCCAGGCAGAAAAAATGTGAAGGAAGAACATAGGGCTAATTCTAATGCAGTCACAAAGCACCATTAATACGACAAGAAGAAAAACAGGTTAAAGTTAATTCAGTTCAGTTCATTTGTTTCTAGTATCTACCTTCTGTCTCTGAAATTGTACTGGCAATGTCAGCACTGCAGACAACACAAAGAAGGAACCCTCTCCACACCCTGCTACCCAAAGGTTATCCGGTAACCTGATCCTGCAGACTGTAGGGCAGAGAAAGAGGAGAAAAACCTGTTCACATTAAAAAGAGATATTTTAACTCATTAATATCTTACATACTATTCGCCATTTTATTTGTGTTAAGATAACCTTATTCGTGGACTCGAAAATGAACCTTTCAATCTCAAATGACTGTAGCACTTCTAAAGGGTGGTATACACATTTCAAATACAAAATAGTACTGAAACAAAGGACACAATGAGAAAGAAAGGAAACTTTCCTGAATGATCTATACTCACTTCACCAACCCAAGACTATGGGAAAGAGAAAAGTTCTTAAAGGTAGACGCTTCATATGTAGGGAAATAAGAAAAAAAAAAGAGATTTTGCAAAAATGAAAATGCTTTTAGGAGAACAAGAAGGCCAATGATTACCTCATAACCCATTAAAAGCATATAAAAAGTTTATCTGAAAATGGATTTTTTTGCTTTTCCATTGGTGACTTTACCAGGATATTGAGCTGAGGTTTACAAAATGCTGTGCTAGGAAGAAACATTATAATATAGTATCAAACAAAAAGGTTAGGTTGATTTGGTGGCTTGCTACCCAACAAATGCCATATATAGAACTGCCAGATAGTAGAAAATGTATGGTATGCTCAAGACCAGCTCTATACCTACCTTTTAGTGAATTTCAGATCCTGTCTCTAGATGGAAAAGGGTAGGGGGAATACAACAAAGATTTCCAGACCTTGGGTGTTTAAAGGGCCTTCACACAGTAAATCACCCCACTGCTGTCCTGTTTTCTCCCCAGCCAGACTGAAATAATACAGCACCAGCAGAGGTGTGAATTACCCCCATTCATCTTAATGGAGTGTTAACTTCAAAGACTTGTTTTAACCATTTAAATGCTAAGCTCATGAGTAAACATTCTGTTTAAAAATGTATAATTTAAACCTTGAACATATGAAAGTAATTTATAGTCTTGGTATTTCGTCTTTTAGTCTAGCAAACAAGTCTCCAAAAGTTAGAAAAGTATGTAATTTGTGCTTTACTTAGTTTTATTTTAAATAGTTATTACTTAATAAATTATGAACATTAAACCTATAACAAGAAGGTCCATATTTCCAGAAGAAAGGCTAAGGAGCACTTGAACAAGGTGTCTTGGTAACACCAGAGAAGGGCACACTGCTTTTACTGGCCACTCTCCAAACTCAGAGAATACTCTGTCTCTATAAACAGGTAACTATAAGGCAGAACATGAAAATAAAATGGAAATGAACACTTCCAAGAAACATTTTTCTTGATATTAACTAAGCTTTGTGCACAGCGTTCCACAGGTTATTTGTCCCTTTTGATAAACCTCCCACCATACTATCCCGTGAGAGGTGACAAATGTATTAATTGATGCACAGCTGTCATCACACTTAAGATTTGCCCCAGGGGGGCATCCTTTGCATCTGTTGTAGATTTAGTTTTTCTTTTCTTTTTCTTTCTTTCTTTTTTTTTTTTTAATTACTGGAGTTAGATTTATTCAAGCAGCTGGACACCTATGTCTACTTGGATCCATAATTTCAAAAACAGAAAGAGTAGGTACAAGTAGAAACCTATCAGATTGATGGGCTCTGAACCTTCATGGGAGGCCTTGCCTAGTTATGCCCCTGGGACTATGCTAAGTGCCTAGTTTCAGGAAGGCATTAGGATGAGTACAGCTGGGGTGGAACTGTGGGAAAGCACTAAAAAGAGTGCTGTTGGAGCCAGCTCCCCAGTGAGTGAAGGCTAGAAAAAGATTCTGAATATAATACTTGTATAAGATGGAAGATGAAAAAATTTAAGATATGTTTCCATGTCCTTCATTCAAAGTAATTTCATTTTACAGGTACAGACAAAAGGTCAGAGAAAGGGGACAAACATTTATCTACTGAGAAGCCCATTTTGGTCTGCATCTAGTTAATATATAGAAGCCATTTAGTCCTCTCAACACTACCCTCTGACAGCCATTAACTCCATTTTATGGATTTGAAAGTGGAGGCTTAGAGATAAGTGTCTTTCATTGAGATTTGAATCCAAGTCTTTCCAGTTTAAAAGCTTTACTTTTTCCCATTACACCATATGTTCTCAAGCTGCCAAAGCAGTATCTCTTTGAGTTTCTTTTTTGAAAGGCTGTTATCAAGTTTGCAGCCTATTTTCTAGATTGGAAGAAAGAGGGCACCTGCAAAAATGTACATTTCCTTATATGCAAATTGGAATTTTGCATGCAATTCCCTACTTTACATGTGGACTAGGATAAGATTACATTTTTAGTGATACACCCCGGCTTCCATAAACTGCTAACCATGTGACAGAAAAGCCCTAGCTTCTGGCTTCTAACCAGAAATTAGTCATGTCAACAGGAAAACTGCAATGATTTATAACCTACAAACAAAATATAATTTAAATGATCAGTATTTGTCTCTGTTTGCCAAGTAGAATGTTAACATGTTTTAGTGGCAGACTGATAAAGCTCAGAGCTTTCCAATCCACACAATAACAGGAAAATCCCAAAAGTTTTTGGATAAGATTTGGAGGTAGGGCAAAATACCAAGTGGAAAAATCTAACAGTTGTGATTGATGGTGACAACATTCACCCATAAGCTAAGATTCAACAATGTATATAAACTGAATATACCTATTTATTAAAAACAAACTAATAACTGACTCAATATATTTAAGAACATTAAAAACTTCTGCTCTGTGAAAGAGACTCTTAGGAGAATTAAAAGAAAAGTCACAAATAAAATCTCTGCAAAACAATTATCTCATAAAGGACAGACATCCAAAATATACAAAGAATGCTTAAAAATCAACAATAAGAAAACAATCCAATTAAAAAAACAGGCATAAAGGTTGAATAGACACTTCAAAGAAAACATACTAAGGTCAAATAAGTATATGATTAGATGCTCATCATATGTCCTTAGGAAATTGCAAGTTTAAAAAAATGATATAGCACTACATACTTATTAAAATGACAAAAACTCAAAACAATGACAATACCAAATGCTGGGCAAGGATGTGGAATAACAGAACCTCTCATTCATTGCTGGCAAGAATGCAAAACCTTACAAACACTTTGGAAGGCAACTGGTGGTTTCTTAAAAAACGAAACAGGCTCTTACCATTGAATGTAGCAATTGTGGTCCTTTGTATTTAGGCCCCCCGCCTCCCCCAAAGCTAAAAAACGTGTCCACATGAAAACCTGTACCACAAAGATTTACAGCAGCTTTATTCACAATTGCCAAAACTTGGAAGCAATAAAAAGGTCTTTCAATAAGTGAAGAAACAAACAAACTGTGGTACATATATACAATGGGATATTATTCAGAATATTATTAAAAAAGAGATGAACTATCAAGTCATAAGAGACATGGAATAAACATCACTGTATATAGTTAAGCCGAAAGAAACCAGTCTGAAAGGACACATACTACTATATGATCCCAACCAAATGGTATTCTGGGGGGGAAAAAAAAAAAAAAAACAACTATGGAGACAGTAAAAAGACAATACAAACAGTGGTTGCTAGTGGCTGCAAGAATGAACCCGAAGGTAAACAACTGGCTTTAGTTAATAATGTTTCAAAATGATCTCATTAAGTGTAACTAATACATGGGGTTAATAATAGGAGAAACTGCTCAATGATTCTGAAGACACAAAACTACTCTAAAAAAAAAGTCCACTGATTTTTAAAAAGTCCCCGTAAATGAAACATTGACTCAAAATACTTAAGAGCATTTTGAGTTTGTTTCTTATTTTAATTAAACTGCTATATTTCTACTTTCTCCTACATACTGCCATTATGTTCTGTTTTATTCTGTTAATGATTTTCATAAAAATGTATTTTTTCATTGAAGTGGCTTCCAGAATTATTCCTTCTTGCTTATGTAGGAAAATTATTCTTTATAAGTAGGAAAATATTCTTTCATTTTTTAATCCAATCAAACACGATGAATGCTAAACTAAAATTCCCAAGCAAAATTCCAGAGATGAGCAAAACAAAAGCCTGTGGAAATAAAAAGATAAAATAACAATTAAGAGTATTTCATAAACCTCCGTTCTTCCCAATAATGTTTTTATAATATTTTGACTTTTTGAATATATATAAAATAGTATCAAATGACAAATTAGTTTTTAAAAAAGAAGTCTTAAAAGAAATAAAAACAACCTACCCCAAGCTTTTTCCATGAAAGAAAATCCTCTCTACTGAGTTTAAGATAAAATAGTCCTGGGAATACAAAAATCAAACATGTTGATGTACTGGCCCCTGTAAGTTGGAAGGGAGAAAAGAAAGATGTTGGATTCAGATGTGAGGTGGAGTAATAATTTTATCCATCTTATTATGTGGATTTTTTGGAAATGAAAAACTTACCAACTACACCAAAAACATTTCTAATGTCAGGAACATATATTGCAAGTAAAAGAATGATGATATTGAGTACTAGAGTAATCAAAGAATGGCGAATCCATGAGAATGGAAAATTGGAGAAAAACATCATCATTAAAGCTTTTCTGGCCTGTATAAGACAAAAGGAAATAGACTTAAGCAAAGAGGAAGCATCAAAGACAAAATATTTGCTTAGCAAAGCACATGTACAGTAACCATGATATTCTTGCCTCCAAACTATTTAGATTCCCAAACTATAGCATAAATTGTTTCAAGTGTTTATACTCATAAACTACGTGTTTATCACATAAAACTTTCTATATGAGCTCATAAAAATTATTTTGCATTAGTTCTAGAAAAAAGTTTTCATAGGCAATTTTTTCAGGTTGTATAATTTAAAAAACTACCAACAGTAACATTGTGTGATGAGATCTCAAAGAATCATTTTCACTAAAGTCAATAGAAAAACAAATGGTTTAAAACAGAAAAAGATCTGATGTCATGAAAAAGAAATACCACTTACTACTTTAACTTATATTATCTGTTTCACACATGTAAATATGAATAATTGCTCATTACACTGCCCACAGCTAGGCAGGCAGTCACATTCCATGAAAGTGTGCCCAACCCCTGTTGCACTCTTGGCACTAATCTCTGCATAGGGAGGGACAAACAATCTTGAAGGCTCAGTTCTTACAAAACTCACTGTGAGATTCAAGACATCCATGCAGAGGCAGTTTTACCCAAAGCTTTTGTTTTCACTTTCTCTGAAATTCTTAAGATTCTTATGTATAGCAACTAGATGCAGAATGAAAATCTGTTCTGCCCCTCAAGTTATAATTTTAGAGCAAGTCAAATATTTTGAGTAAGATTAAACTAGCATGTCTATGTGAAAATAAAACTATAGTAAACCAGTAGGAGCTTATTTTTGCTGACTTGACTATTTCCTTTTCATGCATATTCTTTTGAAAGTAGAATACAGAATGGGGGGAATAAAACTTTAGAACTACAGTCTCTAAATTGGAAACAATGCTGTGGGAGAACGTAAATCTAAACTAAATCTCAGAAAGCACAAATTAGCTTAGTGGTTCACTGTTATTTTGGGGCTTTCATGGGGCCATATGCAAGTACGAGGTCTTTGATCAATTACTTGACAAATGAATAAGATATACAAGGCTAGACATGATTCAAAGGTTCTAGTCTGCAAAGAATTAGTGTTGCCATATTAGGGAGCCACTACACTAAGCAACAAAATCTTTAAGCATACTTACAGGGAAGTGGATTAGAGGGACTGTCAAAAGCACAGCAAATAGTATGCATAACTTCACAGTCATGACAATAACATCATGTGGCAAGTATTTACTATAACCTCGTAGTAATTCTGACTCCACTTTGTCTGTAAATAAAAAAAAAAAACTAAGAATCACATTATAAGCTATGTTCTAAGATGTCAATAATAGCAAAATCATTTTCTATAGCACTAATGGATCCTAATAGATTTAGATTCCCCATTACCAAATCCATCTCTGGCCTTTTCCCTATTCCATGAAATACAAAGACATTAGTTAAATATATTCTTGAAAACTACATTCTTTTTAAATTTTTTAATGAAATTAGAAACCAGGACAGGCAACACCTACAAAATTATGACAGTTAATGTGTTTAGAAATTTCTCTTTAGAACTTTTCTACCATCTGAGGGTTTGAACACTCATGTTGTTTGCTTATATAGTTGCTTTCTCATGTATTGTTGAGTTTGGTCCTATGATAACAATATAAATAGGTAAACGTAAAACTGTAAATCACTTGCCTAAGATCACACAATATAAAGGAGCATAGCTGACAGGGTTGTACATCCAATATTTTGGGGGTGCCCAAGTTGATACTTATACAACAATACCATGATATTTCCTCATATCTTATAGTATTTCGTGCATATTACCAGTTTTTGTCAACAATTCATCTATAGATTCATCCTTGGTGAAAGAATGAAGTGTTAGGAAAATGGTTACTCAGAAGCCAGGGCAGCAGTCAGACTTTTTGCCTCATGGTGTTGCCATACTCACAATGTCTCCCCTCACCCCAAGTCAGCTGACAAAGAGTGTGGGTGCTCAAGTACACTGCCACTTCAGTGTCAGTGGGCAAAGACTAGTTAGTACCTAAAACAGAATGGTGTGCACATGCCTGTAATCCCAGCGGTTCTGGAGGCTAAGGCAGGAGGATTGCAAGTTCAAAGCCAGCCTCAGCAATTTAGCAAGGCCCTAAACAACTTAGTCAGACCTTGTCTCAACATATAAAAGGCTGGAGATGTGGCTCAATGGTTAAGTGCCCCTTGGGTTCAATCTCCAGGTTGTAGAAAGGATGCTTTGGGGCAGATTAAAAAAAATCAACTATACCTTTGTTTTCAAGAAGCTTAAAATTTAAAGGGGAGAAAGACAAATTCACACGTACATAATACAAATTATACATCCACATAAATACACATATTGGTAGAAGAAGGTCCAAACAAAGAGCTTTGGTGATTCTAAAGTAAGACCACAGAGCAATGTTCAAATTTCACCACTTACTAGTGACTTTTCCAAGTCTCAGTTCCTACATCTTTAAAATAGGGACAATAATACAWTGACCTATAGAGTTACTAGGACATTAAATGAGCCAATCAATATATGTATGCTGGTGTTCAAAACTGTGGGAAAAGAGATTCTTTAGAAGAAAAAAACAGCACAAGTGGAAGTCTTCAAGTAGTAAAGGGAATGTATATCTGAGAAAATAAGAAGTCCATTCAGTACTGCAGTCACTGAAATATAATAAGCAGAAGTACAAAGAGGGAAGTTGGTGACAGGGCTGGAAATGCATGGAAGACCTAGGAATACAGCTCTGTGTAGGGTTTAGACCAATCTTGCATGTCACAGACTTGCAATAGTGATTCAGGAAGGAGACTGTATTATAATCTGAATGAAGCAAAGTATAGACTAGAAGGAAAGAAAAAGAAGGATAATAGAAGGCTACTCTCATAACCACTGAGAGGTAATGAACTAGACTAGTGATAATGGAAATTGGAAAGAAATGAGTTGTCTAAAGTATTATAGACGGAATTTATACAATGTGGGACTAACGGACTAAGTAGGTGACTAAGAAGAGCCAGGAAATCCAGAAATCTGGATTTTATTTCCAAATCTGTGAGATACTTGGGAGTCTTTTGAGAAATATGGCAAACTATTTTATTTCCATTTTCTGAATCATAAAATAAGCCATTAACACTTCTTGCTTAACAACCTCATAGACTTTAAAAGGTCTGCTTATTATGCAACATTTGGGCAGTGGCCTAGCTCACCAGAGAACACTTTTCTCTTTCTCACCACATAATGCTTTAACATCTGTAATTAGCGTCAATATTATTAATCTTTGTATATACTTATAGGTCCCTTTAATCTTACAAAAGTTAGATATTAACTAAATCTTGGGAATTCTGAGTAAAAGGATTCCAAGTAACTCCAGAATCCTGAAGAATTAGATTATTATAAATTCAAAATATATGTCACTTGTCCACTTTCTACATTCCCAGGATGAAAACCTTTCTTCCGAGTCAGTCATTCTGTATTCTTAGCTGAACTGTAACATATGTAAGCGATAGAGTACAACATGCTTCTCTAGATTCCAATAAATCTCTACTAATCTCAGAAAGGACCTGCTGGCGATCTCTGCAAGTTCTATCGTCATTAAAATCAAGAGGCTGTCCTGTATAATACACACTGTCAAACAGGGTCTGAAGCTTATTAAGATTATCATAAAGTAGCAGAAAGAATACTGGATTAGCATTCAGGAAACCTGCCTTTAATTCTTTGACAGGTAACTTCATCACTCTGGGTTTTAGCTGCTCATCTAAAAAATGAATCTAAAGCTTTAACTCCAGACTAGACCTTCTGATAAAATCTCAGGCTCAATTAGCAATTTCTTTCCATAAGACAGAGCTCTTGTTGAACTTATAGAAAGACACCATAAAAAGTTTTTCTTGCTTATGATTAATAATACTTAAAAGAACCACTATGAAGAGTAAAGCAGTTTCTGCATCTTCCTGACTATGGAGAAGAGTTAATTTTTTTTGGGTACTAAGGATTGAACCCAGGGGTGCTTTACACTGAGCTACTTCCCCAGTCCTTTTTATTTTTTATTTTGAGAAGGGTCTCACCAAATTGCTGAGGGTCTTACTAAATTGCCGAGGCTGGCCTTGAATTTACAATCCTCAGTTGCTGGAATTACAGGTGTGCACCACTACACCTGGCAAGAAATTACTTTTATACAATTGCATCTGTCTATACATATAGCTAGCTATCTGTCTTCTTCTCTATCATCTACCTACCTACTGTGTGATTTTTCTTAGATGTACATTTCTCCATTATATAAAATTTTGATACTTTGAAGAATTTGCATTTTGGAGATGGGATTAAATCATTTTAGTTGATAAAAACATTTCATTTACATAACGAAATCCTTTAGGTTTTGCTTTTAAGCAACAATAATGGATGGATGAATGGTGATGGAGGGAGAGGGAGGGAGAGAGAGATGAAGAAGTGGGGAATGAGATATCTATATATATGGATGCCTGAAGCTTAAGTGAGCATGAGCAGTTTTACCGAAAGTTCACTTAATAAAAACTTGGGATGAAGAGAGGTTTTACAGCATAATCTTTGAGGAGGCAGCACAGCTAATAAAAGCACTGGATTTGGAAAGAAACAAAATAATTAAATCTCAACCGCATTATTCATTAGCTATAGTTACTGGCCTAATTATTCAATCTAAATAAACCTATACTGCCTTACAGAGTTGTTATAAGGATGAAGTTAAATGATATATGTAAAGTATCTGATACTTAAATGTTAGCTCAATAAATGTATTAGCATCAATCACTTCTCCACATCCCTTTCAATGTAAGCTTTGTTTCTGATAATTTAATACAACAGCTCCTAAGTACCTAATGATTCATACAATTAATGTAACTATTTCTCAGTCATCTTGGTATCAGTAAGGCCATTTGAGGTTTCTCTCTGGTAGTTCTACTTATCTATTGGGAGGAGAAGAAGGTCAGTATTTTTGGACACTTTTTTCAAAGATGAAGATTCTAAACAATGCAGATTAAGTATCCGTAATCTAAAAATCCAAAATATGAAATGCTCTGAAAATTCTTTGACCAAAATCCTTCGAGCACAAAAGTCTGCAGATATTCTGAAATCCCCCAAACTCTGAAATCTGAAACACTCTGATCCCCAGAATTTCAGATAAGTGATAACCAGCAGTATTTGTGCCAGGTGACAATCTTAATTTTTTAAAAATGCAGCTATTCTGCTATACTAAATCTTTTAGAAACCCAAGAGGACCCAGCTATGATATTAATAATCCCAGCTATGATATTTTATTAAAACAGAAAAGCATTATGATTTCAGGTTTGTATAAAAATGAATAAATTGAAAAACCAAAAATAAAGTACATATATTTCAAGAAGTTTGCTTTTATTAGTGATGATCACAAATGCTTAACAATTTGTTTTCACTTTCTTTGTAGTGTGTCTCGCAGGGCACCATGCTCACATTGGAAAAAAATGCTTTTCTTAAAGGTGCACAAAAAGCTCTACTACTCTCTTCCTATATCAGTATAAAAATGCAATAGCAGATTTAGATATATGGGATTGCCATTATTGCTGAAATAACATAGAGGCAGCAAGAAAATAAAGACTACAGAGAGCAATCATAATTTTCTCCCACAGAAAATGTCATGGTAATATGGCATATACAGAAAAGTTACATTTAAACTATTTTATTAAAAATAGAAAGAAGTACAGTACTAAAAGAGCACCTTAAATATAATGAAAGTTATAATAATAATGCCAGCAGTAGCTCTCATTTGTGAAGGACCATTATGTGAATTTTATATATAATTGATTTTTACTTCATAACAACTCTATGAAGTTATTCCCATATTACAGATTAGGAGATAAAGCTACTGCAAAGTGAAGTAACMTGTTCAAGGTCATATAGCTAGTTAAAGTAGAGGAGGTATGTGTACCACATTTGTTGGATTTCAAACAAACTAGCTGGATTTCTTTCCAAAGGGCTGAGGAAATGTAGCAGTATAAGCAAACATTATCACAAAACTTGTCAGACTTGGGAAAATTCTGTGCAATAAGAAAAGTGCCATTACTAGTCATGACATTATTAGTCATCACTGATGTCTACAAGCTGAAACATATTCACAAGACAATCACACAAGAAATGATAGTTATTCACAGCTAAGTATTACCTAAGTAATAACAGCCATTTACTTGAAGACTTATAAAATAAAAGCATTCATAAACCAAAAAGTGTATGCAGAATTTCACAAATTGAGTGTAATTTGTGTTACAATATGTTTTTATGTAAATTCAACAAGTATGCTTAAAAATCAAACAAGAAAGCTTACAATTTTTATTCTTGTTCTAGAATTCTGTTTTACTTTTTCCTCAAGTTCTTATCAAGAGAAAACTACCCAACATAACAAGCAGGGAATTTTTCCAAAATATATAAGAGATACTTTTATTTTGTGAATTTAAAACTGTCTTTAAGAATAAAGGAGAAAGGTCATGGTGAATTATAGAATGTACATCTGATGAATTCTGGAGGCAGAAATATCTGACATCTAAGTGTAAAACTAAAATCGAGTGTAAAACTCTTTCCTTTTCTCAACTTGTTCTTTTGCAATTAAAATGATTTTACTCTCTCAACCCTAAAACTTCTGAACTAGAGTATAATATACTGAATATGCAATTTTAAAAAACCAAAATCATTATCTTTTTAGAAAGACATCAATATCCCTAAACCTGAAATATACTTAGGTGTATAAGAAATTTTTCATATGAAGTCATTAATCTTTAATTTGATCCACCTTTGTAAGAGAAAGAGAATCATTTCTATAAGGTCCCTAGAACCACCCAACACTGCACTGTAATCTGGGTGGCCTGCACAAATTAACTCATTACTGAAAGGCAGAAAGAAAGTCTATAATCATGTGTGAGATCACTTATGTAATAATTTATTTTGTCATCTCTATCAAAGAATATACTCACTGGAAGTGGTAGTGTACGCCTGTAATCCCAGTAGCTTGGGTGGCTAAGGCAGAAGGATAGTAAGTGAGTTCAAAGCCAGCCTGGGCAACTTAGTGAGGCCCTAAGTAACTTAATAGGACTCTGTCTCTAAGTAAAACATACATTTATTTTGTTTTATTTAGAGACAGGTTTCTCTCAGGTAGTTCTACTTATCTATAGGGAGGAGAAGAAGGTCAGTATTTTTGGACACTTTTTTCAAAGTTGAAGATTCTAAACAATGCAGATTAAGTATCCGTAATCTAAAAATCCAAAATATGAAATGCTATGAAAATTCTTTGACCAAAATCCTTCGAGCACAAAAGTCTGGGGTGCTGGGGATGTGGCTCAGTGGTTAAGAATCCCTGGGTTCATTCCCTGGTACACCCCCTCACCCCCCACCCCCCCCAAAAAAAAACTCAAAATAGAATACACTCACCATAAAAAGTGAGGTAACCAAAGAGGGCAGATATAAAGTAAATGAGAAAACTTAAAGCAATTGCTGTATTGGTTACATTCTGCATTCTTTTCTTTGATGGGCTAAAAGACAAAAATGGCAAAGGTAAAACCAGTGATATGAATTATAGCTAAATAAACAAATGTCTCCCAAATTAGTCAAGAAGATTCTTCAATCATTCAAGACCTAATCTATCAATAACTGCACACTAGAATTAGTAATGTGAAGTCAGCATAGGAAGATTACATTTCCTGGAAACATTCTTAACTAAGAATTAACTTGCTTTGTTTTATTTCATTTTAAATTAACACTTAGAATCTAGTGATGATATGAAGGGATTCATAAATGAGAGTGTCATTCAATCTGATGAAAGCCCTCTAGATAAAAAACCAAAAATATTTAATACATTTAAAATACTCCAGGATTCTACAGTACCTTTGAAGTTCACAGTATATTGGCAATACTGAGGTATGGCAGAGAAATGAAAAAGCCATGGTTGGTATAGCGTAAGCACTCTGAAAAAGAATTTTAAAAGACAATTAAATGCTATCCTATTGAAACAATTTCATTTGACAACAGTTCTTTTAAAAAATCAATGTATTTCATCTTTCAGGAGTCATTTCTTTATAAGATTTTTTTCTTTTCAGAGAGATATACCTATAGTCACCAGCAAATGTTTTACTTAGCTATATTAGGGAGAACATTTTTAGGCTGACTTCCCATACCATTTTGCTTTATTACAATACCACTTCTACATTATTTAGGTAAGATAAAAATAGTTTAGGTAAAATAAATAATATTTAGGTAAGATTAAAAATTACACCTTAGAAATGTTCTCATTGCAATTCTCAGTCATTACCAATGTATGCACAATTTAAATACATCTTACTACCTTAAGCACTAGGCAATAATTGTTAATAATTTTAAATATGCTTTCACCAAAATGTAATCCATAATAAAATAATAATAAAGTGTTAACCATATCTTTGTACTGCAAGCATCTTTGACCAGGAGCTCTTTTAATAAGAATGAATGTCATTTATTCTAGACCTAAAAACTTTTTAAGATCCCATGGAATACATAAGCTTAAATTTTGTTTTGTTTTTATTATTAGAATACTTAACAAGAGCCAGAGGGAGCTATCAAGGAAATAAGTTACCATCTAAATAAAAATATGGCCTTTTTTCTTTTATGCTCTAAAAATATTTTCCCTTAACTAGCTTTAGGCTCTTCAGCAAAAGAAGTTCCAGATGAAGACCTATTTGGGGATATAATGCTTAGACTCCTAAAATATCTGAGAGGGGCTACGAGGAAGGAAGTTGTAGAGTTTCCTGAGGGTGGATTAGGGAATGAGAGTTTAATTCAAAAATTCTCTGTTTCATACATTGCTTAATTTCCTGGCTTGTCAGTTACTCCACTTAGATCTTTAAGGCACAAGGAGGTCTTTACCACGCAAAAGATGTGGTAAGCTCCCTTGTGGGGCCAGAGAGTCATTTCTCATTTACAAACTAGGAGATAAAGAAAAATTCTGCATGGAGGAGTATGCATGCAGACTTACACAGTATAAAGCTGCACATGAGTGGAGGGCTTCTACCATTTGGAACCTACAAAATGGCATTTTGGCAGAATTAAGACAGTGTAGAGGAAGAAACCTGCAGAAAAAAGGAAGACTTTGTGCTCCTCTACAAATATTTGTAAAGCAGAGACCATCCAGATCACAGTTCCTGCATCCTCTGCTGATGCTCAGGAGCTCTTACAGGCATTTTTGAGTATCCTATACCCCTTAGGCTCTTAGAGAAGGCAAGGGGACTTAAGTTTTTTAGTCTCGACTCCTGGCATCATAAATTTCAACTTTGGAATGTTGGTCAGAAGATATATTGGCAGTACTCAATTGTTGGTCCAATGATGAGGCTGCTTAGCTACAGACCAAAGTTCTACTCACAGGGGAGGAGTTTTTGATTGTAATTGGCTATTTGGCTTTACAAGTCCAGAGGGCAACAGGAAGTCTGTATCCACAGAGGACCTTATTGGCCAGACCAGACATTCGGTAAATCTGTTCTTTTAGGCAGAGGCCCATTTAAAACAGGCTCCATTTAAAGGCATGCCAAAGGGGGAAAAAAAAGGTGGCTGTTTCATAATGGGCCACCCTGTGTTAAATAATATTATTCTTCTGGTAGGCAATCCTATACTTAGCACATTCATGAAAATTAATTAGTTACAGGTACAAAGACCTAAGAGACCCTGTTACACAAATCTCTTAAAACTTGAAATGTGAAAAATCAACCAAAAGTATCTGTTAATAACTTACACACCTCTTTGGAGAAATGAAAGAGCTTTGGTTTACAATCATCTGTAGCATTTGAAATCTGTTTAAGAGTATTGAGGGGAAAAAGAGAAACCAACAGCTATTAAGTCAGAATACATCAACAAAAATTAATTTTATCATTACTAGGCTTTCAAATCAAATTATTTCAAAGCAAAGTTCCAAAATGCATACAACCACTACTTTTTTATTAACAAGGAAAAAATTATTTGCTTGCCTTTTCCCCCTTTTTAGTTTAAAAAGGCAAACAATAACAAAACAAAAACTATTACCTGGAAGAATTCCTCTGTATGATCTAATGTCAGAGGACAAGGGATGGCCCATTTTTTAATTATTATCTGTAAGAATAATATAATCAGTATTCAGATTATTTCTAATAAAATTCATTGATTTCAACTAGGTCAAAATTATTTTCATTAGTCTAAAACCATGCCAAACACCTAACAGAAGATTCTTTGCTGGTAAGATTTTCCCCAGTTAGAAGGGGTCATCATTTAACAGTTACCTGTGGTAGGACCATGAGGGATAGGACAGAAGGTGTTTCACATGTGTTTAGTGGGGATCTTTTCCATTAAAGACTGGGGGTATTTCCTGTCAACTTTCAAAACTCCTACAGCATCAGTGTATTTTTTTTTTAAATGTGACTCAAAGGGGGAATGTGTTTTGTCAATGGTACAAAAATATGATTATTTGTTTCAGTAGCAGTCAGAGAAATATTAATAGCAGGTTTGGAAAAGGCACAGGGAGAAATAGAGACTTTATGTAAAGGCGGACCTCAGGGATTTCTGATGAATAAGTACTTTCACCCTCCTTACTTTTTCAGATTTGTATTATTTTTGGTGAATGTGGAGAAAGCTGGCTAGAATAAGAGCACATAACTAGGGAACTCCAGCTGGTAAAAATAAATTAAAGAAAAAACATTAAGAGAAACCCAGAGGGATGCTATTTCCCAGAAATAATCAATGAAAATGTTTCAGGATTTTACTCTTAATTGTGGCCATCCTGTTCCTGGACCTAAAGTTGTAGCTGTGTCAACATTACCATTGTTGCAGTTGTTTCAGGCACATAATTACTCTGTAAATGTTTGCTCCGGGCTGAATCCCAGCATACAAAGGGGCAAAGGAGAATAAAGGAAGTATTTGTCCTTTGCTGGAGACCAATAAGTAAACATTATTTCTATATGGTATTTATCTAGATTTTGGATCTTAGCAAATTAAATCAATACTTTATACCATGATAAAACAAATCTAAAGAAAATATACACTTAAAGATTAAGTTAATGAGTGAACTAAAGAGTCACTCTAAAATTAAAAATCTCACCAAGGAAAAATAAGGAAGGGAAAAAAAATATAAGGATAAACTTGGCTAGCTGCTTTGACACTCCAAGGTAAGTTTTCAATACAAAATAAAACTCGATGATCAATTTACCAACAGGAAAGAACAAAATCAAAAGTATAATCTCACCATTTTTTTTCCTGAAAGGTTTTCAAAAAAAGGATGAGGATGAGGTAATGGAAAAGCTGGAGAATCAAGGTCATTACTGGTCTCTATCTTTTGCCATGTTGACACAGTTCCAAATTTAGTCTCTCACTTTTTCTCCTTACCAGCAGTGGTGCTGTTGGCAGCAAAAGCCATTTATTGAGCATTTGCCATGTACCAGGTATCTTTTTCCCCCTTTTAAAATAGAGATAAACTCATTAGCAGCCTTTTATATTAATATAAGTTCACCTAATTTCTGTGCAAAGATCCACCCCAAACCCAAGCCTGTGTAGTAGAATAGTGTGGCTAGAGATGATGTCCGACAAAGCAGCAGAAGAAAACAGAAATGCAAAGAGACCCAACAACAAACAGCAAATATTTATAAGGAGTTCTTGCTTGGGTTGAAGACAACACATGGTAATAAGATAACTCTTGGGGGTAGAAAAATGATTACTAGATTAAGTATTAAAAATATCTGTTCAATTGCACAAAAAGCCCTTCTTTCTTCCTGCTCCAAGTCCTTCCCAACTTTCAAGGCTCAGCTTATTTTACCTCCTTTCAAATTCTTCTTTACTCTAGCTCTCAGTGATTCTTCTCTCAACTCTTGTGACTCCTACTTTGAAGCAAATAAATCAGTATTTCATTAGGTAATACCTACGGTGTTTTCTAATAACTTAGTCTTATCTTTCCTCCTATGTTGATTGATCTCCCCTACTAGATTGACTAGATTGTAGTGACCATGCAAAACTTTCATACACTATCATTCATACCTAACATAGTGCTTAATAGAAGAAAATAATTTAATTCTAAATGCTATTTATTTGACTATTGGTTTACTACTTAAAACACTTAATACTACTTAAAACACTAATCTGTACTTAAGAGAAAAACTTGAAAAGAGTGGTAATCCATTTGTGTACTAAGATGGACCAAAAAAAGGTAGTTCTTTTTTTTTTTTTTTAAATGGTAAATCCATTTGGTTTCTGTCATTCCAAGCCATTGCTAAAGTGAAACTTATTTTTAAAAATTTTAGAGGGGGAAAAATTTATGTCATATTTAAAAAAATATGGGTTAATATATATGCATGTATTTTTCCTAACTGCTATTTCAAAACCTAATACTTACTTTTGAATCTATAATAAATGTCAACAAAAAAGACCACTAAAAAAATTAGAGTGCATCTCATTATCCCATTGTAGACCAAATTTAAACTTTCCATAGGTAAAAATCTGAGCAAATGGTTTGTAAAAGCATTACAATAAATACAGAATAAGGGTAGTATTTCTATATGACAGTTACAGCAGAAATCTGTATTGAATTAAAGAGTATTTGTCATGACAGAAATGAAAACTATAGTAGACATATCATATCAATACATTTCACTTACTTCAAACTATTGACTATGAAAACTAAATTATTCCTACCAATGCAAAGAGAAATGTCAATTATCTATATCCTACTGACATAATGAGAACTGTCAATTATCTAYAAGGGAAAAAATTCACTGTTACCTACACTGATTCTCTTCAATACCTATATATTCATCATTTGCATACACAGGCACTTCTTTTTTTAAAAAAATGCACTTATTTATTTGTTTATCTTTCTATCTATTTATTTATTTAATGTGGTGCTGAAGATTGAACCCAGTGCCTCACACATGCCAAGCAAACGTTCTACCACTGAGCCACAATGCCAGCTCCTATGCAGGGCACTTCTAACTATGCAGAGGCTTCCCAACAATCAACTTATGATGAAAATAGTTACTGTTTCTCTCTTCGATATAGAGCATACAAAGTGTATGTTCAATTCATTATTTGTCAGACAACTATAGGAGGGATGATTTTAACGTTGGTAAATTCAGTAAATGTAAACACTATCAAATACTTTCAGATTTAAGAGTATTCATGGAAAATAATTACTATATACAGTGAAATCAGGGTCATTTCCACTTCATTAAAGTAATTTAATGCTATTTTATCCCTGTGTCTCAGAAGATGGTTTAACCAAAGCTAAAGGCAATGCACCCGAAACTGTTTTGACAGTTTTGAAATCTGGTTCTGTAATATGGTTTAACTATTGATGTGTTGTCTTGCTTATAGCATGACATCTGCCTTCTATTAATAAGTAAATAACAAAGAGAAGTTTAACCAAATTTATGAAGAGATTATTTGGGCATATATATTCTTGGGGAAGCTAAATGTTAAATCCTATTTAATGTTCACTATTTAGATACTGACTGTGGAATAAAATGCTATGGAAAGAAAAAAAGGGTTTAAAAATTTTACATGAAGATATTATCTTTATAAAAATGTTTAAGATCTGCTTTAGAATAATAAAAAGGAAAGAAGAAATTTAAATTCTATTTTATCTTTATATTATTTTATAACTATCAAAATAAGTTAAATTTAATATCAGATATTTTCCTTTTATAATAAAAGTGACTAGTTTAAAATAAGAAAGACTATATTCTACATATAAAGAATAATATTTATTCCCAGTACTATTTTCATAAGAACTTATTTATACTGAATAACCAGGGTAGAGAGGAAAAAATTCAAGCAACCTGGTTCTTATTAGATATCCTTGGTAAAGTCCTAGAAACTCTTGTTTCATCAATCAAACAAAATTTCAAAATTAAGATGACTAGTACCAAACTGACTTTACAGATTAGAGCCGACTATTTCTTCACACAGTGTTGTACATAAATAAACATATACACCTACACAAAGAATTCTATTCCATCTAGAGTTTTAACAAAATTGGTGTGCTCTTCTCTCTAGTTAACAGTAGGTGATACAGAATTTGAGATTCTACTCCAGCTAAGCTTCTTTAGAATGAATGCAATGAAGGAGATAATTTTGTGAAAATTTTTAAATTCTTTTGTGAACAAAACTACTTTTAGTAACATACTAAATGGAATGGGCTAACTTCCCAGCACAAAACAGACTTAAAAGAAAAAAAATCATTAACATGAGTCCAATTTTAGGGAGGAGATAAGCAATGCATTATATTTTAAACTTACCACAAGAGCAAAGAACACCATAAAGAAAAATGATAAACTACTTGTGTAGCCAAGAAAGCCTGTAAAATAACAGTAAAATAAAAAGCAATTTATAAGGAAAGTGATCCTAAACGTACAGCTAAAGCTATACATCTTGGGCATGTTTTCTATTATAGTGCTTGGTATCTGGGGCTTAAGGCTCAGAATAACAACATTCCAACTATCTGTCACAGATCATTTATGTAGCTCTGTACAGCAGAATTGGAACTGGCTTACCACTAATGGTACACTGTAAGGAAAGGCTGCTCTTTAATGTTCCACTGTAAAGATTTTATTTTAGTGGGGCAGACAAAATACTACTGCAAACCAAGTAATAGGTTAACTAGGCAGGGTTGAAGGCTGAACAACCGAAAATAAGGCCAAATTTAAATTATTCACCACCACCACCTTTCTGCTAAAAATATGGTACTATGAAATTTAAAAGCCTCTTAATATTTCTCTCTCTTCTAAACAAATTATGTACTCTTCCATAAAGACTTACCTATTTTGGGAAGAAGAGCAAGAGGGAACACTATGCCAACACAAATAATTATTAGTAGTGTTTGTCCATCCAGATACCATGACCTATTAGGGAAAAAATTCTGTTTTAGCCATAGAACTCCAGAGTTTGTTCTTAGATGTGTGTGCACATATATTACAACCATCACGAAAGGCCTACTTCCTTTTGTTAAAATGTTCTTATGGGATCTTATTATTCTTATTAATGAATTTACATTTAGGTAATATACAAAAATAATTTTTAATTACCAAAATAACATTCCACTGAATATTCTGTGATGAAACTAAATATTGGGTATATAGAATTTTCTCCTGTTTCATATCAGTATTGCATTCAACAGTTCTCATGCAGATAGAATTTTTTCTGTTTCAGATGATTATCTTAGAATAGAATGCCATTATAAAAATGCTACCGCTCTTCAACCACCAAAATTATAACTGCTTAGAAATAAGATAATATGACTGGGGTTGTAGCTCAGTGGTAGAGTGCTTGCCTCGCATGTGTAAGGCCCTGGGTTCGATCCTCAGCATCACATAAAAATAAATAAATAAATAAATAAAATAAAGATATTAAAAAATAAATAAACTACAATCCTTAAAAAAATTAAGATAATAGTCAATAGTAGTGAGAAGGGATGAGGTGTGCAAAAACCTGGTAAAAGTATAAACTACATAAATTACCTTTATGGAATGAAAATTTGCATAGATAATGAGAGCTTTCAAATAATTGAACACTTTACCACTTAAAAAAGACTATTAAAAATAAAGAAGCAATCAGAACAAAGATTTTTGTACAAGTTTATTGAAAATATTTAAAATGGTAAAAACTGGAAACAAACATCTAACACCACTACAATTCTGAAATAACAATATGTTGAATATTCACTAAACATAATATGTGTATATATGTGTGTGTGTGTGTATAGCATGATATTATTTTCAAAAAAATATGGATGCATTAAAAATTGAAAGGAAGTATAGTGTATTGTTAGCCATTTTCTCTTGATGGTAGAAAAATGGGTAATTTTTCTTCTTTGTAGTTTTCTATATTTTTCCAAAGTTTCAGGATAGGGAATGAACTACCAGCTCAGAAAATATTACAATCTACATATAAAGATGTTAGAATAATGAGAGGGAAAAAAGATCAGTTAGTGTGATTATGTATTTGTTCATTAAAAACAAAAATCCAGCACTGCAAATCAACAATAAAAACTGGATGTTCATTTTTAAAATGCCAAACCGATACACTTAAAATACCCAAAGTAGATATTTCTATATGGTAGCAATACGAGCAATATTTATTTTCTTCTTGTTTGCATGTGTGTGTATGTTCTCTCTCTCTCTCTCTCTCTCTCTCTCTCTCTCTCTCTATATATATATATATATATATATATATATATAAATTTCTCAATATAAAATTCATGTATAGAAATTTTTAAAACTTAATTTCCCAAGACCTTAACAGATTTGTATGTAAAGGACAATGAAATATGGGCAGGGGTTGTGGCTCAGTGGTAGAGCTCTTGCCTAGCACATTCGAGGCCCTGGGTTCGATCTTCAGCACCACATATAAATAAATGAAATAAAGGTATTGTGTTCAACTAGAACTAAAAAATAATATAACTAGTGAATATATATGCAGAAAAATCTAATCACTGGCTTTAATTAAATAATCACTTTGTTAAAATTAAACTAGTACAATGATTAAAAGATAATATTGAAGGATGTGTGTATGATGTATGTCCATCATACATGCTACTGATCTTGTCAATTAGTAGTCTCCTCTCAAAAACAACTGTCAATATGTAGCAAGTACAATAAAAATGTAGTGGTAATCTATTCTAACATAACCATCTAACCCAGAAACAATTCCACTAGCAAGAGAGTTGTTGAATGCAACACTGTTATAACATTAAGAAACAGGAGAAAATTCTATATACTCAACATTTAGGTTTATAACAGTATATTTAATGGAATGTTATGCAGCTTTTAAAAAAACCTAGTAAAATGGAAAATGCTAATGATATGAATTCAAACTATATGATTATTAACTATAAAGAGCTGGGAGAATTCAAAGAAAATAGAAGATTAGAAATTAGGTAGCAATAATATTATTTATAATTTATCAATGTACACTTTTCTAAATTTTCTGTAATGAAGCATAACACGCCCAAACACATGCACAACAGTAATAAAATAAAATCCATGCTAAAATGGGAACTGGGTGTATCAAAGGGCAACAGGGATTTTTTCAAATCCTTTAGTAGATGATCTTAGAATTCACTTTGCAATAATGCATCATCTTTCACTCTCAAAAGGTAGCCAAAGTCATCCACTTTCATTTTAAATTAAGAAAGTGTTTTCTTCTACCTGGGTTTCAACCTCTGGCTTCTAATATGGACTTTATGATTCAGTGCACATCCTTCACATCTTAGTTTATGAGAAAGTCCTTCCTCTCCACAGTACTTTGAATCAGTCCTATTGGGTGCCACCACTTCCTCTTTGATCATACTTTTTCCTTCCCTACCTACCTTAATTTGTGTCCTTAGGACATGCATGTGCCAGAAGAGATAACCTATGCACAAGTATTTTTAGTAGTCACATACCTGAACCTATGCTTGCTACATGTGCAAGTGCCCCTCAATCCTTTGTATGCAGGAAGTACAAAGAAAATACACATATTAACAACATGAAATGAAAAAAAACCAATATGAAATGATACTCAACATATCTCTTTTCTAGTCACTCTTAAAATTGGAACTTCAAAATATCTCTCACTGAGGAACACCTGGCAACTAAATTTCTGAAAGTGGCAAACAGCCCAAGGCTCTATATCAGACTCAGACAGTTGCAGTGACAGGAGAAAAAAAAAATGCCCAAAGGAGCACTGGTGCAGACTCCATCTGTCAGTTCTGCTGTCCCTGATAGGTAACAATACTGCATTGTATATTTAAATGTCTGTCAAGAGGTATATTTCATATGTCAAGTGTTCTTACCACAATAAAATAAAATAAAAAATCATTATAAACCAATCGGACTCTTCAAAAGTAAAAACAAAACAAAATGACATGAAGGAAGAATTGTACAAAAGCGAGTATGCTAATCCCCAGAGTAGGACTCTTTTGCATAAGATAAAAGAAGCACTTTGAAATCCTGAACAAGAGTTACTTCATATTATTTCAGATCACAATTCATATATGTCCATAAAAGTCACATTACTGACCAAAGCACTGAACTGTGGGTCTGAAGATAACTTTACCTCTTCCCAACAGTAACTCAGAATTAGAGTTATGGAATGTCAGAGCTTGAAAAAAACTTAAGAGATCATCTGGTTCAGCAGCTTCATTATGTCTGTGAAATCAGCAACTGGATGACGATGATTTTGAGAGTAGCAATGGAAATAAATATTCTCTAGTCTTCAAAAATTACTATAAGTTTATGGTACTTTTCAGATACTACATCATTTATTTCAAGATCATGCTTTTCACAGGACTGAACTTTAAATTCTCTATGAGAAAAGGATTTTATTGTAAACAGAATTTTTCTATCCCTGGCTTGGCTATTGGTTATCATTAATCATTTTTTATCCTTATTAATTTTATGTAAATAAAGGCAATTGTAAAGAGAGTGCTTTCTTTACCATTTGCTCATTAGAAATAAAGGCAATATAGTGATATAACACAGTAAAGTTAGTTTAGATTTCAAGTATAGGTCATAGTCAATTGTCTTAGCCTGAAAAATATAAACCAATAAAATTTCAAAAAGTACATATTAAATATTTTTTTCATAAACCAAGATTTTAGAAAAATATATTAATCTATCTAACAGAGCTCCTGTTTTCCTACTATGATCTAAATACACATTCTCTTTAAGCCAAAAGAATTAGAGTAAAAAGTTTTATACTTCCTAGAAAACTTGTTTGATCTGTTGATTTAATCCTGTATGATAAAAATGTTACAAGTATGAAATATAGAGTATAAATCCTTAGCAGTATTGTAAATGCTTTGGCATGCAGATGTTTTTTCCATTTTTTTAATGAAAACCAGATTTATTTATAAGTTGCTTTAATTTCATTCTCGAATGGAATGGAACAAGAGTATCATATGTTCTGAATTAGGATCTTACTCACATCCCATATCAATTATGTAACTCAAATGCAAGACAACTTAATTGTGTCAATCATATTCCCCTGACAAGATCATTAAATGTTAACAGAGAGCTTCCAACTTTTAACAGCCATAGATTTAAAGAATATAAGTTATTCTAAAAAAAAGATATATCATGAAAACTCAGTGTAAGTATTTATAGACCCTCATTGTTACACAAAATACATGTATGAAGATGTGAATTTCGTGTCAACATGTCTTGTATATAGAGATATGATAAATTGTGGTATAAGGTGTATTAAGAATTGAAAGGCAATAATAATAAYAATTATTATAATAATAAGAGAACTCATGTAAAAAAATTTAAAGAAGTATTTATAGCTTCTGATTTTTAATAGTAATTTTTGAAATTAGAATATAATGAGTATAAAATTCTAAATAAAGGTTTATGTCACAAGGTTATGCCAAGCCCACAGATAACACAGAAATAAGTATGCCTGAAAGATCTTCATTGGAATTTATAGTAAGTCAAACCCTAAAATAAAATCCTATCAATATCATATTGACCTCATAGAAAAAAATACTGCTATTTAACTCTATCTAGAAATAAACTGCCCTAAAAGATAGTAAAGTCGACTATAATATATTTGCTTAAACTATTTTTACACATTAACCTTTGAAAATTTTGGTGTCTTTTAACCAATTAATATAGTCACTTATTAAGTGATTCAAGACTTTGAAATTCAAAATAAGTGAATATTTATTATGGTGAAAACAACATGAGGTCATTATGTGCAATTTTAAACATAAAAGAGATGATGCAAACTAGCCACAGTATTTTGAAGTATACATTTTTTGAAAAACCTGTTTCTGACACAAATATAACATTTTAACTATTTTTTACTTATATGAGTGAGGAAAAATAAATTTTAATTTTTAAAACAAAAATTTAAAACAAACTGGAAAAAAACCAATAATGTAAATAGCAATTGATTTAAAATGAAGTTGATAAAAGGATCAGTTTAGAGATAGAAGACCTAAGATTCAAATAGTTCTGCCACATAGTACTTTGTTTCTAAAACTACATTTCTCTTTCCATAAAGACGTATGACAATAAAAAATATAAATAGAAGTCACCAAATTCAGGACCAAAAAAAAGGGAAAACACATATGACAGACAACTATTAGGATTAACATAGATTGATGATATATTCAAATTTGACTGAGCTTCCTGGCAGTTTGAGCAAAAAAAGAAAGAACATCTTCAATACAGTTACTATCAATGAAATTTCTTAATTCTCCACATTTACGCTATATTATATGCTTAAAGGCATGTATTTGTACAATATCTTATTTTACAATAATTTTTGTTAAGGCAATATTGGTAACCCTATGACACCAGGTAAAGAAATCTAAGGCTCAAAGTTAGGTAACATGGTCAAAAGAAGTTAAATGCCTGAAGTTATTAATATGAAATGAATAGAACATGCTTCATTCCTCTTGGTTGAGCATTCTTCATTCTACTTCATGTTGCCTTGAATTCTTAGCTTTATATTATCAAATAAATTTCTCACATAGAATTTGAATATTGGAAGCTATCCTCAGTATTCTTACAAGCAAATACAAAAGTGAATTTCAAATAACTATTTCTTATTTAAATCAGTTATCAAACTAAGCATAAAATCAAAATGTAATGATATAAAGCTGAAGATAAATCAAGGTCATTGTATCAGATGTGACAATGAATGTGTAAACCTCATAAACTATAAAGTACTCTAGAAGGACATTATCTTCTTATGATGAGAAAATATTAAGGGTTTTTATGACCTTTTTTCCAACCACTTTTTCTTGATGATTCCTATTCAGATCTAAAGCAAAAACACCCTCCTTACCAATATGTATCTTCATTTGTCTAAGTAGAATTCCTTAATGGAAACTATGTTGTCAAAGCTAAAAACTAAATTTTGAAAACATTCCCTGCAATTACTGGGGCAAAACAACCAAATAGGGCTGGGGATGTGGCTCAAGCGGCAGCATGCTCGCCTGGCATGTGTGCGGCCCGGGTTCGATCCTCAGCACCACATACAAAACAAACAAACAAACAAACAAACAAACAAACAAACAAACATGTTGTGTCAGCCGAAAACTAAAAAATAATATTAAAAAACAAAACAAAACAAAAAACCAACCAAATATATAAACCTAAAAGCTTGCTGAGTTTTATGTAGTGATTTGAAAACTGTATAAAATAACTTGACAATGAAAAGAATTTATTCTGTCTTTTCAAGTTCATTTTTCAAAAAAAAAAAAATCTTGTTCTATATAAGGAAAGGGAAAGTATAATTAATTTTGTTTTTTTTCCCATAAAAAAGAGATACATCAATATAGTCTATAGGACTCAGACATTTTTATTTTTTTTATTTATTTTTTATTTTTATTTTTTTGAGAGAGAGAGAGAGAGAGAGAGAGAGAGAGAGANGAGAGAGAGAGAGAGAGAGAATTTTTAATATTTATTTTTTAGTTCTCGGCGGACACAACATCTTTGTTGGTATGTGGTGCTGAGGATCGAACCCGGGCCGCACGAACGCCAGGCGAGCGCGCTACCACTTGAGCCACATCCCCAGCCCTCAGACATTTTTAAATAAAGGAGAAAGTATATTGTGTTTTGGTATTACTCGCATTAATGTCAAAAAACAGGAAATGAAACAAGTCCTTATAAATAATTTTTTAATCATGCTGTATAATAGAAATCTCACACAGATATGTTTGTAACTTCACATTCTTTGTTACTGTGATTTGTTGAGAAGTGATAGCAGAATTTTTCACTTTTTTGTGTTTAAGACCTTTATTATCAGTACTTTTAATCTCCTCCCTGCCCCCACCCCAATCTTTCATATCCTCAGAAATTTCTCCTTCACTCTTCTCCAAGAGTTCTCTCTGACCTGTCTTGTCCTCTCTCACACCCTGAAGGAATGCAAGGACTTATTTGGTGCTTCACCAAATACACTACCGAGCTTTGTACGCAGTGGGTAATCACAAAAATATATGCAGAGTGTTTTCTCCTTTATTACTATCTACCCCACCTAATCTGCAAATGTCTAAATGACAAGGAATACATTTGTTTCACTTGCCACTACAGCTTAATAAATATTTATTGAATTAATAAATGAATGGACACAATTCGAAATATTTGTCTTACCCACTATAGTCTCCGGTCAAAAATTCTGAAATAGCAGCAGGAAGCTCTGTTTTAATAATTAAAAGATAAGATGACATAGCTGCAAAAAAAAAAAAAAAGAATTTCTATTAAAATTCCATAATTTTTAACCATTTAAAGAGTAATCTCTCCAGGAACACAGATGTCCATTAGAGATGGGATGACATATGAAAGACTATGAACCACCCCAAAGACATATATACCAGGAACAGAGATAAGTAATTTTGTAGAGAAGAATAATTGGGTAAGTACATTAAGTATTCTTTGTTTATATTTCAAATCTAGAGCAAAAAATTTAGATAAAAAGGGTCTTGATTATAGACCACTTTATAAACAAAATTTTGTTTGAAGTTTTGCAAAAACTTTCTTACACATTATTTCCCATCTAAGGCATCAGAGGCTAGTTTAGTAACTGACATAGAAACAGAAGTTTAACAAGTAGGCCAATAACTTTGATAATTTTCCCTTTGTTACTAGGGAGAAACACCCTTCCAGCAGGTCTCGTTCCCTCTCTCACTTGCTCTTCCTCTATTTGCTACCCAACCCCACACTATGGACACAAGTTATTATAAGGCAAATATAGAACAATCAATTATATTCAAAATTGTCCTCTGAAACAGATTAGAAAGATCCACTAGAAAGCATTACATAAACTAAAGTTATAGAATTTCCAATTTTTACTCCACTTTTACTCATCTGCATTATGTAATCAGAACCTGAAGCTAGTAATAGTTCTCACATTTTATCTGACAGGATCCAAGAAATAACTAGTTTTTATATACTTTAATAATTATGTTATTGCTGATATAACCATAAAAACAAATTCTATGAACCTTCCATTATTAACATGGCTATAGAATACAGAACTCATTTATCTACAAATTCTTAAGTTTAAGCTTAAATAATTAAGTATGAAAAATGCGGTTGATTTAGAGTTAGAACGTCAGTTTAACAGAGCAAAAATCTCTCTTCCCTCAGAGATTAAGAATGTTTTAAAAAAAAATAGCTAATGAGGAAATGTTCATGAAGAAGAAAGAGTGTACTCTGTGTGCACATTAATTTTATTACTTATTTAGATTTCAGGAAACATTTCACTTTCTCCTTGGACCTATAAAAACCAAGAACACAAATGAATGCCAAGTCTGAATGATAAAAATCTGGGGAAATTTTGATGAGAAGCTTCAATAGTTTAAGAAGAATGTGCATTTCTCAATTAATCTATTAGAAACCTAGCTGAATTTCTCCATGATTACAATGCCATGCGACCACTTTACCTTTAAAATAGGACTCCCATTAGTTTGTATGTGAATTTGTATGAAGATAGACTATCACTCACATTTTTTAAAGTAAAATAACATGCATCTATGGCAAAGTAAAATTTAGAATGGTTAAATAAATAATCACTTCTTTATAATAAAAATATGCATATACATATTTTTCAGTTCATGGGTGTTTCTTTTTCCCCAGAAGAAATGCAGCTGATGATTAAAACCTACTAAGATGTTTCTTCAAACTCTTTTACTTTAGGATACTACAACTGATTAGATGTGAAAACGTGTTCTATGTTATTCATATTCTCATAATGAAAAATGTCTTCAATTCAGTACAGAACAGAAGCAAGGTTTATATTAACCTCCTCCACTAAAGGATTTGGAGTCTCTACCATATTTTATCTATTCCAAAGAACTATACACATGTGGTGCAATGATAAAAATCATGAGTTGATTTTTTTCCAAAACTATCCTAAAACTAGAAAGAGAGAGAGATTGGGAGAGAGAGAAAGAGACAGATATTCAAACAAGGAATGCAGACTTCCAACACAATGTAATTTATGATCTGCCCATCAGTCTTTCTTGCTTGGATTAATCCAACACCACATGCATTTCTAAAGTTTCAGACATTCATCTCTTTCAGTAATTTTCTATTATTTCTTTTGGATCTTTCATTGTAAAAAGCTTCAATGAATATGAGATCAGATTTCTTTCTAATATACAATCTGTCATTCTTTCCAGAATTTCTATTAGCCCCTGGCTAATCATTTGATCACTTTTATCCTCTGTTGTAGCCTTAACTCTTTGGCTTTCAAATGGGAGTCCTGTTTCATTAGATTCCAGTCTGAAGAATCATGTATATTTTAAGAAATATGAACTCACCAAACACATGTTTCTCTCTCTCTCTCAAAAAAAAAAAAAAGACTTCAGCTTACAAGACACGAATATAGTAAAACACGCAAACTACTGCTTCTTTCTTAGAGAATGCTGGCATATGTTTTAAAAGCTACAAAACCACAGAGCTTACCATGGGGGGAAAAACCCTACTGATTAAGCAAGTAAAACAAAGAAAGACACTACTCTATTCACTGTCAAAATTATTTTTTCTTAACCACAAATAAACTTTCATGCAAGGACTAGTACCTTAACATATTATATTACATATAATACAGAGAAGAAACAAAAAAGATTACCAAATGCACATAAGGTTAGGAAATACATCTTAACTGCATCCACATAAAAAGAACAATCTGTTCAATAAAATGAGCTGGAAAAGTTTCAGAGATATAATACCAACTGGAAAGTTCATATATCCATTGTTTTTAGCCAAAAGGTTCACCAGGTCTAATAGCTGGTTGCCATATCTTTTGTCTCATGTCTTTTATTAATAGCATAAGGAAATGTTTAAAGACTTATCTTAGAGACAAGTCATAAGCAAGAATTTGTAAATGATTATTGCTGACATCAATACACAGTGTAGACTCCCTAGTACAAGACACAACATGTTGTAGTCCAAATTAATAGCTGTAACAGGGTCATCCATAAGCACCACAGTTATGGTTAAGTAGTTCTGAACTCCATATCACCAAAGCCAGTATTAGTGCTAGAAGATATACCTTGATGACAGTTACTCAGCCATTACAAATCATTTAGTTTCACCACATTAACTAAATAGATATTCTTTTGTCTTTCATTTTAAACATAGCTAATAGAACTCATTTCATAGAAACTGCCCTGAGAAGGAAATTTAAAAATCTGTCAACTAATCAAAACACAGAAATTGAAAGCATTCTTTAAAAGTCATGTGGAGAAACAACTGCTACATTAAAAAAGGACTAAAATAGGGTAAAATTAGATTAGGCTATAGTAAGTAGTAAGGTATTAATATTGGTTGACTTAATCATAAAAAGAAACACATGAGCTGAGCCATGGAAGGTTGAGGGAAGAGATGCAGGAAAAAAGTGGAAGGGGCTCAGCAGCGACATCCAAGAGAACAGCCAAACTTTTTGAATTCTGGATGCCTATTAAATGCCTGGCAGTATTCTAAATGATACAGAAGTTGCTTCCTCATTAACTTTCACACATACCTGAGAAGTAGATATTATTTATTTCACAGATAAAGATATAAAAGCACATAAAAGCAATAATATTTAAGCTAGTGATAGCTGGTGTCTCAAGTTTCTTGGCTTGAGAAACTTGCTTAATTAGTATGATATGAGCAAGTGCAGGAGAAAAGTGAAGCAATCAACCAAAGTATAGCAAAAATGAAGAAAGTCTATCAAAAGGACCATTCTCCAGAATTCCTTTTGTATTCTTTTCATTAGCACTTAAACAACAAACTGCTGAGTTTAATAGTGGTTCAAAGAAAATAAAGATGAATGACATTAGTCAGAAGCTTTATCTACACTATAATTTTCATTTCACCTTGAGATGTATTTTCAACTTTGTAGCTGGTTTGGCAAAGTGATTAGTTCAAAATTCACTGTTTCATCACAGGACTTTATTGCATCTACCACCATGAGCGGACTGCGTTCACAGCTATGATTACAGTTCTGAAGTTTCCTATTGTCATATATTTGAGATTTAATACTGCTTGGAAATCTAAAAAAATCAAAACAAAAATCAATCCCTCTGACCCCAAACTCCATACTCTTAGAGACTATTTTTTCACCAGCACTCTGAAAATGCTTTTCAATTTGTCACTAGTTAAACATATAACCTTAAGAAGGGAAAGACTTATTGAGCTTGGACCTAAGAAATCATTAGTTTACAAAGATAATTATTCATTTTGTTAAACAGTTAAAATACATGTGTGAAGAAAGGATTACTTACAGCTGTTTTAAAAATAGAATTATGTTTTCAGCACTTGGGGGGAGTTCAGCAACTTCTTACAAGGATTAGTCAGTCAGCCCTAAACAAACAGATGTACTATGGGAGGAAATAATAAGTTTGCCTTTCCATTTAAGAGACATCATTTTATTTCAAACTTGTTTTTAGTCATAGATAATAATGGGTTTATTCTACATGTCTTATTAACCTGGTGCTTCCACTAAATGTAGAAATACCACTGAAATTCTATCCTCACTTAAACCATATACAATTTCTCTGTTTGTAAAATATTTTTTAAATAAATACGAAAACAATGTAATTTCCCTAATTTGCGCAAAATGTAAATCAAAATATATGATGGAAAGTATTCCTCCACAACCTCAAAAAATACTTTGTTTTATCATGTATCAAGACCTTAAATTTAAATAAAAAGTGATCAGAAAACCTACTATTTTGAAAATCTCATAAACTTCAAAAGAAACCATTACTTGGGCTGAGATTGTGGCTCAGCGGGGCTCGCCTAGCACAGGCTGGGCGGGACCCGGGTTCAATTCTCAGCACCACAGAAAAATAAAGGCATTGTGTTGTGTCCATCTACACCTAAAAAATAAATGTTTTTTTTTTTTTAAAAAGAAACCATTACTAAGAAATACACTGTTTTGTAAGCCTCTTTAAAATAACGTTATTAGTAAATTTTGTCAAAGGAAGTAATTTCGAAAAAGACTTCCCTTCTGAATTTCCTGTACTTCTATTCTGAGTCAGTGTTTTCTAGAATTTTGCACAATTCTGCCCCAGCAGACCCAAAGTTGCAGTTTGACTACGGATAAACTGACCAGCAGATGGCGATGTAACAGCGTGCCCAGTCCCAATTTCCCAAGGGACAATAGGAATTGAAATCCGACAATACATCTAACTCTTACTACTTTGACTATACTCCACCCTCCCCCTCCGCCCCACCAAGAATAGAGAAAGAAAGTAAATTCAACTTGCTTAATATTAAATTTTAAATATGTCAAATACTGAGAATTTGGGATTTTTTTATAGTTCTCAACTTAAAATGATTTTATTTATACTTTCCTGTTTATAAGATTTAGAAATTGTATTAAATGAGTATATAAAGGATTGGTGGGTTTCTTTTAAACCATGGATTCCCAAACTGATGGGGCTAATCAAATCTGCTAGAGTAAAGTTTGTATGTTCTGTGCCAGAATAGAAAATCTGGGTCATTCTAAGCAATTTTAGGAAATTTCAGTAAGACTACTGTTTAGGGTTCTCTAATACATAACAACAATAAAATATTTAATCTCCTTTGAGAAACTGAGGCTTTAAAGGACTAGGAAAAGAATATGCTATCTCTGGTAGTCCTTCATATTTATAAAAACAAAATGAGTAGTTTAACATTCTCCCAGGAGCCACTCAAACTTCCATGTTCTGAGTTGGGCAAAATAAGAAATAAGAAATAACACAAATTGACTTCACTTTTATCATGTACCTGTAAGAATTAATAAGACTTTCTCTGGCTTAACTATAATGAAATGGGGTTTACTGTTTCATTTCTAGTGATCTTTTAGTCTACTAAATAGTCTTTCTCATGAGTTAAATTGAATATGAAAGTAAATACTTACCTTAATTTTTAGGAAAAGAATCAATGCAACATAGTAAGAGAAACTATCTTGAAACTACCTACACTTATTTTCTGCTACAATTCTTAATCTTTTTATGGTTAGCTAATTAAATTCAAACTCTCTAAATCAGGATTCTCTTGCCGAACCACAGCATTCAATATTAAAATTTCCAAACACCTCTTTTCTGACTCTGTCCTGGCAGCAATGGCTCTCAGCAAATGCTACTCCAGTTTCTGCAAAAACAGGCTGCAGAGGGTTACCTCTGGAAATGGCCTACTTCAGGGCCCTAATTTGTTACTGTTGAGAGGAGATCAGGAATCACTTTTAAGCAATATTTTACCATACGGGTCTTCATTTTCCAAAGGCAAAGCTTCTTATAATCCTAAAATAAGGGTTCTAAATTTAATGAGTTGAATTTTTTTCCATTGTAGAATTTAAAGATTATTGACAACAGTTGATTTTTTTCAATCAATTTGTCAGGTCTCATAAGGGCCCTGTGACTAATACTTGGTGCCTGATTGATCTTGGGGGATTGAGATTTTCTGTGAAGCTCTGATAGTAGATTCTTTCTGAAAGAAACTATATGCTCACTTATATACTCTGTGGTCTTTTCTTTCTGGACAATCAATCATTTCACTTTTTCCTCCAAGGGATACTAAGTTGGATCACTAGCTTTCCCCTCTCTTTGTCTTTTATTTCTTGCTTCCTTCTTATAATAAATACTACTTACTGAATGCCAACTATGTATTAGTAGTTAGGATATAAATAAATTAGTAAATTACTTTTATTTATGAAATATGGAAATAGAGGGAATTACTGGGCCTTTGCTAAAAAATCACTGCAACAAAGATTGACAAAGAGCAATTTATGATGATTTTTGCTTTTTAAGGCCTGTCCCATAATTTTTTTCATAAATTCACCAAGGGCATCATATACTTAAGAAGAATAAGAAACATTTAAATGTTACAAAGGATAAGAGTTAGGAAGCATTAATCTAAGATATTATCACTTAATTGAAAATAAAGATGCCTCCTCATTGACTGTTCCTGCATTAAAATGTTAATGCCTGAATTAATATGCCTCCCARTGCCAAATTAGAATCCCAATGTTTGTAAGAAGGGATTCTAAGCTCCATACTTTTCACCCCCAATAATTTAACCAAGAGAAGAGTGAATGAGTTCCTTCAGACACACACCTATTCAACGGCAGAGACTGGAGTACACAGAATTCAAGGTACTTCACTTTTAACCCAGTGCTCTGCCCATAAGAGTAAGCTTCAGATTCCATTATAATAAAGGAATATTGTCTAAAAATAAGAAAACTTTGTGAAAATATGTTTTATTATTCAGTGGGCTTTCAATAAATAAACTTAAATGATGTGAAGAAAATAATGAGGTTCATCCTAGAAACTAAATAATGCCAGGCGTGATGGCACAGGCCTGTAATCCTAGAGGCTTGGGAAGCCGAAGCAGGAGGATCATGAATTCAAAGCCAGCCTCAGCAAATGCAAAGTGCTAAGCAACTCAATGAGACCCTGTCTCCAAATAAAATACAAAATAGAGCTGGGGGTGTGGCTCAGGGGTCAAGTACCCCTGAGTTCAATTCCCGGTACCACCACCTCTTCTCCCCACAAAATTACGATGACTGCTTCTAAATTTTTTTCAAAAAATTCTAAAATAAGCAAATCAACTAACTTGGAATTTGGAAAACTGATGATTTATATACCATCAAATTCAAGATTTTGAATTTGAACATTCTGTCAACTGACCAAGCCAGTTCTGTTTGAATGTTTTCAGGAATAAGAACACCTTAAAGGAGTATAGGTCAACCCTATTATCACACAGTTTAATTATAAGGGTATTTGCTATGATCTGAATGCTTTCTATAAAGCTTATGTTTTAGAAACTTAATCCCCAATACAACAGTGTTGGGAGGTGGAGTCAAGTGAGAGGTGTTTAGGTCAGAAAGGTTCCATTCTCATGAATGATTTAGGTACACTGTAAAAGGGCTTAAGCCTACAAGTTTGATGTACCTCACCATGTGATACCTTCACCTAGCAATAGGGTCCTCACTAGATGTGGCCCTTCAATCTTGGACTTCACAGCCTTCAAAGCCAAAAAAGTTTCTGTTCACTTTAAATTACCCAGTCTGAGATATTCTGCTAAAGGAACACCAAACAGACTAAGATAGTATTCTAGATGAAGAAACCAAATCAACTACTCTGTAGATGTCTATTAGAACCAGTTTTGCCCTCTCTTTTTCATTATTTCATTTTAGCCTTTCAAATATGTGAAGCTAGTGATAGATGTAACATTCCCCTTTTTTCTTCTTGATAAATATATTCAAAATATTAGAAAGTACTTGGAGATAGCTCATACAAATCATTTTGGCTCCATTCAGTTCAAGAAAGGTTTATCAGGTTCCAGTATTGTGCTGGTTGCTGAGAGAAGAAAGAGAAAATGATACATAATCCTTGCCTTGGAGGAGATTACGTGAGGGAGAGAAGCATATTCGGAGATGTCAATCTAATAATAGCAAGTGCCAAATTAAAGTCATGTCTAAACAAGATTAGGAAACAAGAAAGAGACCAGCTGGAATACACAGAAAGATATAAAATGGGCATTGTGGCAAGGTCATGAATTTGGAACCAAATTCCTAAACTGAAAATTCTACATAATTTCTTAAATAATGATTCAACCTAATCTAAACTGCCCCTATAAAAATTCCTAAAGAAAGAGACGAGTTTTCTTGATTTCTAGAGTGAAGTATAAAGTAGTGTGTGTTAGAAGAAGATAATTTGGTATGACATCTAAGAAAGCATTCTTCTCACTATTTTTTTTTTCATGAAATTCAAAGAATTAAATCATTCAGATTCAGGATTCAAAAACAATAGAAAACACAATTCATTAACGGAATGTTAATTTTTTCTTGACTAAGAAACTCATGAAAATATAACTAGATTGAACAATATTTAATGTGAAATAACTCAGATCTCTTCAATTAAACTTTACTAAGCTGTCATCTTAAAATATTTTAAACTGTTACTTATAAAGGGTAAGATTAAATTCATTTGAGCCCAGCACGGTGACCCATGCCTAAAAACCCCAGCAACTTGGGAGGCTGAGGCAGGAGGATTGCAAATTGAAACCCAGCCTAGGCAAATTAGTGAGGCCCTAAGTAACTCAGTGAGACCATGTCTCTAAATAAAATACAAAAAAGGGCTGGGGATGTGGCTCAGTGATGGAGCACCACTGGATTCACTCCCTAGTACCACACACACACACACACACACACACAAACCCAAACCAAAACAACAACAACAACAAAAAAAACCCACACAAAAACAAACTTCTTTTGACCATACAATCTTATATAAGATACAAATCCATGTCAACCTTCCCTATGAATTGTCTTTTTACATTAATGACATTTATTTAGCATCCCACTCAATGATAAAAGAAAATTAAGACACTGTTCAGCTCTCTATACAACCTCATTCTGACATATACATACGTGACTCCTATATTTTGAATTTAAATGTTTAATACATTCAGTCAACTATCTATAATTAATAGTAATTTTTATTTCTACATAGTTCTCAAAATTGGAATCATTTATAGAATCAGTTTTAATAGAAATTAAAGATAAATGTGAGAATGCTTTTGATTTGTTTCAAATTTATTTCTTAAACCACTTGATCATTTTTAATTTCTTAATTACAATGGGACAACTGATTGTTCACAGTTCAGAGAACACCAGTCACTATAAAGTACTGCCTGCCAATGGGGGTCCATTATGAGAGGATAAAAGTGAGGGGAAATATTTTGGAATTGTCTGGAAAGTTTTTCCAAAGTGTATCCCATCACTATCACAACCACAGAAAGCCAATGTTTTAGAGATGTGTCACAGACTTTATAAGAAGAATGCAATCAAGGTTTAGCTAGAACTGAAGTTAGAAGCCTTGTGACAAGCACTGCTAAAAAGGATTCTCATTAGGCCAATGCTCAGGGCTTCCGTAGATACTTCCCTCTACACATCACTTTCCCAGTTAGATGTATAGTGAGGCAAGCACCCAAAGAGAGACAATTATTTCTATCACTTATGTGCAATAAGTGGTACACTTTCAATTGCTTACCTCCAATATTCTGAATTATTATGGTGCCTGCCACAACCACCTATAAAAGAAAAAAAATGTATTCAGAAGATAAAAGGGGAAACTATGTAAAATAATTAGTATTTTATTAAAATCCAAAAACTAATACTGTTAAATAGATGCAGAAGTCATGATAATGAGAAACAAGAATGAATAAATTGACAGTTATTTGTAATACATAAAATGAATAAAAATTACGTAAAAGGTTTTCTTTAATAGTTCCACAGTTACCATAAAAATGTTTTGCAATTTTTTGGCAGTCATTTCTGAATAGTTAGACTTGTTAAAAGCTAGTAATCGGTGATTATCAAAGTTAAAAACCTGAAATTGAATCTGGGGAATCTCAGGGTCCCTTTCATATTGGTTTTACCACACTACTTTAGCAGGAAGACCAAGATAGCTTGGAGTGTGCTGTGCCAGTGTAGTCTTGCATAGAAGGAAATCATACACCTTCTGAGTATATTAGCTTGGCATACTCCTAGCTTTTGAAAATTCTATGCCAGGGATTAATAAAGTCTATAGCAGAAAACTCCAGAGCAAAAACATTCTCACACCCTGAAAATTTAGACAAAATGTTTTAAGTGAAGTAAGTTGAGAGTAAGAAAATAGAAAGTAGTGAAAACTGTAGTCTATTGGAGAACTCCCCCTTCAAAATGGAACAGTTTTGCTACTCAGGTCTGGTGAGTTGATGATATGTGAGAACACACATCCAGTGTAGCCAGATCTTCTGATTTTTAAAGGAAAATCAGAAATCAATGTTTTTCAAACTTTTATGATTATCAGCTGGCAACATATTAAAAGTAAAAAATTTTGAGCCAAACAATATATGCCTGAGGACTAGTTCATGCTGCAGGATTGCAAGTTTATGATCTTTGATAAGACCTCTATGAAACTCAATGAACATTTTGTCCATCCCTGGTGATAAGATGTATTCAGAGGAAATAGTTAAACACTGCACTTCCATTTGAGCTTTCTGAGGACTCAAATCTTGGTGGACTGCAATCATCAAGGGATGTTTGGATCTATCTAACATCATTCAGTCCTCCATGAAGTGGGAACAGATCAACTGTCAGGCCCATCTCTATTAGGAATTCCATCAGTGACACAAAATTTGTCTGTCCTGGAAACAATCAAAGGTAAGGCCTTGGGGTCTGCAGAGAAATGATATTGAGTTGAAAATCTGGCAAAGTGTCTTTAGGGATATGGTAATTACCATTCTAATGTTTTCCAGAGGGAACTCTGCATCTCAACCCACTTAAAAATTAGTTTCAAACTCTGTTATTTATGAAAAGACTATTTTAAACTGTACATTATCTTCAATACAAATTATACCTACTATCACACACATATAATATTTGAATGTATTGTCTATCATGAATATATTGTCTATCAATATATTGCAAAGAAGTAATAACATCTTAATAATTACTTTTCCATTATTTAGCTGAATTTAAGCATTTAATATCTACAAAGCCAGATGAATGTGCCATCTTCAGTGCCTAGCCCAATGCAGGGCATGGTATCTATTCAATAAGTAAATACATCAATTTAAAGACATTTTTTGAAATCTTCCTTAAAATTTCAAAATGTTTCAAAACAACTGATTCTCAGAATACTATCTTGTATCATATTTATATGAAATCTAGAGACAATAGGAAAGTTTCAACTCACTTGGGGAAGTGGAAAGGAAACACAAACAAATAATAATTCCTCATCCAAAGTATGCTCTGTCTAGTGAACCTGCCTATTATGAACTGGGTGCACATATTAAAGTAATATTGCAACAGCTCTAGAGTTTTAGGAAAAGGAGACTCAATCCATTACTCTTCTTTTAGATTGGTGCTGCTCAAGGATGCATGAAATACTAATATGAAATGACAGTGATCAGTGATCACACTTAGATTCATGTTTACAGATCACATTAACTGGGGAGTTTTCTTATATAATAACTTTTTTGGTCCTTATTCTTTGATTAAACTAGCTGTATTAAATTCATCACTGATTACACTAAACCTCTTGATTTTAGGAAAGAGAACCTGTTACCAGGGATGATGAATACAATCCTTTACCCTCAAGTAACATATTTCCTGTTTCGTGCAAATTTCAAGTTTTTAAGGTCTAAGCCATGAGGCCACCTAGTATATGATTTAAACATTCCCTTTTATACTTTAAAAACAAAGTTAATTGGATTATAAGTACAAGGTTTTTTTTTCCCCCCTCTCCATTATATAGTTGTATCTTTTTCCTCCCATACTCACTCCTTAGAAGTTAATTTAGCTGCATGTGGTGGCATACACCTGCAATCTTAGATATTTGGGAGGTTGACACAGGAGAATTGCAAGTTCAAGGCCAGCATGGAGGATCAATAACTTAGGTTAGCCATTTACAAATAAGGTACCCTTTTAGATTAAAAGCAAAAGAAACAGTATGTGAGGTGAGACATATGTTACTTAATTTAGCCATTCTGTAATCTGTATATATATTTCATAACATTCTATACATGGTAAGTATGTACAAATTTTGGTTTTCAATTAAAAAAATACATGCAAACAAAAATACAAAAACAGATTTATAAACAGAAAAATTTCTGTTTGGAACCAACATAAATATGGGTTCTAGAAGTATGATTAGCTCTTCAGGGGGAAAAAAAAGTACTATAATGCTGATAGCAACGCTCAACTCCTGATAATCTGTGAAAAAAGATAATGTTTTTCCCTAGCTCTGAAATGGGAATACCTATCAAAAATGAGTGCCACTAAATTTTGCTGTCATCTTTCTTATTCTAAGTAGGAAATGCAGCAGATTTATAATCTGTAGTCACAGGTTGTAGAATTGGCTTTATGTAATTGTTGATAAATAGGACCCTTGGGCTGGGGTTGTAGCCCAGTGTAGAGTGTTTGCCTTGCATATGTGAGGCACTGGGTTTGATCCTCAGTACCACATAAAAAAATTAATAAACAAAATAATGTTATAAAAAAATAAAATCTTTTAACTGCTCTGGCCCTTAATTTTCTCACCTATAAATGATGGGGTAGTTAGGTAATCTTTCAGGATTGTTTAACTCTCAAATTCTATGATCCTTAGCTGGGCTCGGTGGCACACACATGTAATCTCAGTGTCTCAAAAGGCTGAGACAAGTTCAAAGCCAGCCTCAGCAAAGCGAGGTACTAAGCAACTCAGTGAGACCCTGTCTCTAAATAAAATACAAAACAGGGCTGGGAATATGATTCAGTGATTGAGTGCCCTTGAGTTCAATCCCTCGTACCAAAAAAAAAAAAAAAAAGAAGAAGAAAATATACTAAAAGATTTAAGCAAAGAATTAAGTGTATTGATGTATTTTTAGTATTAATGCATTTTTAGTAAGGGCACATACACTGTCCTCTCTTCCTGCTCCCATCATTTTCTTTTCTTCTTTTTTAAAAAACTTTTGTTTCCTTTTATTCCCAAAAGGTCTTTCTATTATATATACTTATCTCTTAACTTGAAATAGAAGGAGAAAATGCCTCTTTGGTTTTGGACACAATAAGAAAAAAATAAAATTACCTTTCCGGGTAATCCAAATGCAAAAAGTCCAAGATCTTCATAAGATGTTACAGCTGTTAAGAGAAATGATCATTTTCACTTTTACACAAACCATTTATGTACCAAGTCTTCAAGGAAACAATTCTACTACAAACTAAGCAGAGTATAATTTTTAGGATTCAGGCCCATCAGAACTAGACATAAATATGAGGAAAAAATAAATAAAGGTAATAGAAATAAAGGTGAACTTAATTAGGTATTTTATATAAAGGTCTTTAGAGCATGAATCTCCAGGATATATAAAGAACTCAAAAAATTAACACCGAAAGAACAAATATACCAACCAATAAATGGGCAAAGGAAGTAAACAGATACTTCACGAGGAAGAAATACAATCCGTCAACAAATATATTTTAAAAAGTTATACTTCTCTAGCAATTACAGAAATGCAAATTAAAACTACACTGACATTCTATCTCACTCCAGTCAGAATGGCATTTATCAAGAATGCAAGTAACAATAAATGTTGGGGAAAAGGTACACTCACACATTGCTGGTAGGGCTGAAAATTGGTACACCCTGGAAAGCAGTATGGAAATTCCTCAAAAAACTTGGAATGGAACCACCATTTGACCCAGTTATTCTACTCCTCGGTATATACCTCAAAGACTTAAAATCAGCATACATCAATGCAGCCACATCAATGTTTACAGCAGCTCAATTCACAACAGATAAGCTTTAGAACCATCCTTCAATAGATGAATGGATAAGGAAAATGTGATACATAAACATTAGCCATAAAGAAGAATAAAATTACAACATTTGCCAGTAAATGAATGGAACTGGAGATTATCATGCTAAGTGAAATAAGCCAATCCCCCCCAAACAAAATGCCAAATATTCTCTTTGATATTCGGATGCTAACAGACAATGGGCGGGCAGTGTAGAACAGAAATTCACAGCATTAGACAAAAGGGAATGAAGGGAAAGGAAGGGGGACAGAAATAGGAAAGACAGTTGAATGAATTGGACATAACTTTCCTATGTTCATATATGAATACACAACCAGTGAAACTCCATATTGTGGAGTTTCACAAGAATGGGATCCTAATTAGAAAAAGTTATACTCCATGTATATATGTCAAAATATACTCTCCTGTCACGTATATCTAAAAAGAATAAAAGAAAAAAACAAACTCCTTTGTTTATTGTTAAAAAAGTCTTTGATAAATTTCTTCATTAAATCTTTTTCAACCCAAAATATAACCCACAATGCCTGTGATTTTCATGTCCTTTTATTCAACAGTGATGATTTCTCCTTTAAAAAAAATCACCAAGGACTCCTTTAATTAATGTATTTCATATTCTAAAAGATTTTGTCTCTCTAATGGCACATAATAATTATTTCCCATTTTTATTAAGCAAAAGTTTCTGATCAGTATAAGGTAACCATTGTCAACACAGTAATTTTGGTTACCAACTAGCAATCATCTATGTATCTACCTGACATCCCCTCTGCATCTATTTTAAATAAAATGTATAGGCTGGTCATGGGTCAATTTGTGATTTCTCTTAAGTGTTCTGAAATATTGACAGTTGCTCAAACACTTTCAATATTAATTCTGCAAACTCCTAGTGGCTTGGGTTCACCTGTCCTAAAACTACTGGATGATCACACTAAATTTAAAGCAGAAGTAGTGACTTTTTTTTAGTTAGTATCTCCCTAAGTTGTCCAGGCTGGCCCTAAACTCTTAATCCTCCTGCCTCATCTTCCCAAGTAGTTGAAATTATAGGCATGTACCATGGGCCCTGCTAGAAGTAACAACTTTAGTAGGAACTTTTGAAGACCTGTGGTTTATAAGGACAGAGTCCTTTCAGAATATGTAGCAAATCTCAAGGTTGTTTAACCAATATCCAGGCTACAAGAATTCAAATGGCATAATTACTTAATATCCCACTTCTCCCTATACAGTACTTGCATACACATTGTACAAATTTAAGTTTTCACTGCAAAAGTTTCCCCAAACTGGATATGTAAATAAAGTTAGATAAAGTATTAAAATTGTACAATACTTTCAAAGACATTCACTTTTCCAGGTGTCTAGCATGATAGTAATGTATTAACGGTGGGAAGCGACACTTTTATCCAACAATTAGTAGGGCATATACTCTTCTTCATCATAAAAGAACAATAAATTACATTCTTATTTCACACATTCAAGCATGTACTCATTAAAAAGATGAAAATTAAACGGCTCATAAAGGAACCAAATTACATCCTTAGTCCATATAGCTTCATGTTTAAGTTAGTAGTGCTACCATTTATATAATAATACTATAGTCTGAAAAGTGCATAAAAAAGGGGGAGGCTTGGGATGTGGCTCAGTGGTTAAGTGCCCCTACGTTAAACTCCCCATTAAAAAAAAAAGTTCATAAACTCATAGTGCTTATGCTAAAGAGAAGCAAATACTAAGGCATGGTACAATAATACACATCTCCCATTGGCCAAAGATACAGCTCATCATTTCCTAAACCCAGTTTTAATAAACTGTTCAAGATAAACATGGGTTTTCTTATCAACTTCCACTTTATCAGCAAAATATTCATTTGCACTTTCATAACTAAAAACTTCCAGGTATATACAAATAAACATTTGTAAAAAATATATGACCTTTATATATTATAATATAAACTCAGAAAATAATACAATATTAAAAAATATGGAGTTTTAGTAGTTAAGAAAAAATATTTCAATTTTAATCTATTATCAGGGTAATCAAAGGATTTGAAAAATCCTTTGAAAAAAATTTTTGGATGATACAGCTATTTTTAAAAATGGAAGCCGGGGGCGGGGGCACACACCTGTAATCTCAGTAGACTGGGAGGCTGAGATAGGAGGATCACAAGTTCAAAGCCAACCTTAGCAACAGTGAGGTACTAAGTAACTCAGTGAGACCCTGTCTCTAAATAAAATACAAAATAGGGATGGGGATGTAGGTCAGTGGTTGAGTGCCCCTGAGTTCAATCCCTGGTACCAAAAAAAAAAAAAAAATGTATTCACCTAATGCTAAACACAGTACACAAGTATAATTTAGTTTTGAATTTGGGATATATAATTTAATTACAAGTAGAAATCTTTATGCTTTAATAGTGAAAGATTTCAATAATAATTTTATAAGGGTAGATTTTTGATCTTTTTAAATTATTTTTTTAATACCTTTATTTTATTTGTTTATTTTTATGTGGTGCTGGGGTTCGAACCCAGTGCCTCATGCACACTAGGCAAGTGCTCTACCACTGAGCCACAACCCTGGCCCAATTTTTGATATATTTAAAACACAAAATTAAAAAGCAGAATTATGAAACTTTTAGGACTGGCATTTTCCCTCCTATGTGAAAGGCCAAAATTCTTTGCTTTAAATACACACATTTTAAAGTAAATATCATTACAAAAAGTAATCATTATTTTAATCAATAAATTTTTACTAGTCTGTTTTAACATTCTTAAACCTAATTGACAACATTATATATAGGCACAATTCCTTATACTTAACATTCCAGTCAGCCTTGGTACATATATTAAACCAGAAAATTGTCTACACGTTAACATGCATCTAATTTGGCATTAAAAAGGTAATTTCATTAGATTTTATATTATGTGAACCAAGTCTCCAGAATATCTGTGATCTGTCACTGAGCCATAAGATTAAAGAAATATCACTGTTTTTAGCATTCTTATAATATTACAATTAAATGTGTTCATTCTTTTTTTTCTTTCTTCTTGTTTTCTTTTGGAAAGTCCCCTCTCAGAGATGCTGAATTAGTCGGTCTTGGGGTGGGACCTGAGATTCTACATTTTATATTTTCCACTTTTTTTTAATTGGAACACTACATTTGCAACATAATGATGGGATTTATTGTTACCCATTTGTACATACTCACAATATAACAATATATTTTGACCAATTCATTATTCTTCAGAATAATTTTTTCTTTTTTTTTAATATTTTACTTTTTTGTTATACACAATACCTTTATTTTGTTTATTTATTTATGTGATGCTGAGGATTGAACCCAGGGCCTCGCATGTGCTAGGTGAGTGCTTTACCGCTGAGCCACAACCCCAGCCCCAAGAATAATTTTCTTTCCAGGAATTTAAAGCAAGGAAGCTTTTCTGTTACATATGGGAATATATCAAATATCTGCTTTTCAAATGACTTATTTTGCAAGATTTAATCTGTAAGTTATCAAGAAAATACTCATCAAAGAGTTTCACTAGGGTTATTTATTTATTTGTATATTTGTTTAGGGATGTGGGAATTAAAACTAAGACCTGATAGTACTAGGCAATAGCTCAACCACTGAGATACACCCCCAGCCCTGTTTTACTTTTAAATAGCAGAAAATAAGTATAGAATGCATATTTAGTAAACATGAAAACTAAATAGCTTTATTATGACAAAACAATCCTAATACAAAAGAATCTGAAAACAAGAGATATGCAACCTTCACTGTTCCAGGAAATATAATCAAACTAGTAGATTAAGGAAGACAATTTAAATTGCAACTTCAGACATTTTAGCAATCTCAAGCTTGCTCTCTGGTTCTATTATTTTTCAGTTTTATAAAAATATCACTAAGGACAACAAATTCTCAAACTGAAAGTAAAAAAATAAAATTAGAAAAATAAAATTTTAAATGGAGACAAGTACAGTGCTCAAGTCCTAATTCTAGCTTTCCAGTCAGCATGTCTGGGTAGTCATTCAGTTCTGTCACTGTCATCAGACTCCTTTTATGTTGCAAAAATTAGAAGCACTTTTCCATGCCTGGACATCATGAATATGAATAATGGATTTGGGCTTAACTTTGAGGCTTTACTAAAATGTGTACACAGTCAACCAAAGCTTTATTTCCACATCCTTGCTTTTTAATGGTTTTCTGGAGCATCTCAGCATATAAACCAAACTCCAATGAAACACTTTTTTAAAGTTCTGTTCTGTCACTTAAGCAATTTCTTAAAATGCTGGTAACAGAATAAACTGGTATTAATGGTTGGAATGCGATTTGATTTGAA